TTAGGGGAAAGGTTTATTCACCCCTTCTCGACTATTCTCCACCCATATTCTCCTCCAACATATAGTTCAAAAATGTAACCAACAATTTCTCGAGGTGTTGTTGATCCCACCAAGGGTTTTAAAAGCACCTCATGTCGTGGAAAATATGTTATAAGTCATATTGTTGCACAACATTGACATAAGGATATGCTTGCAGCATACCAATTTTACATACTTTCTCAAGTGGTCTTCTTGCCTTACATACATTTCCAAATTTAAAATTATCCAAATTAAACATTTCATTTGTCATTGGGCTCCCTTTAGGACTTTCTCTGACAATAAAATACTAGTTTAGAAATAATAATGAGTAAAAGGGGTTGTATTTTAGGACTTAGTTGGGCTTGGGAGAGCTATAACATCGTGTAAGATTCCTAGACCTTTTTTATTTCTTTCTATACCTTTCTTTCTTGAACTCCTTGATTAGTTAACATGACAAATTGTCACCTAAACTGGCATCATTATTAACCATATGTCATACAATATTAGCAAGTTGTTGAGATACATGATACAATATGTCGTAGATCCCCAAGTTTAATCAATTCTTTAATGAAATACATAATCATTACCACTGGTTCTTTAGGTGAAATAATCGTCATAATCCCATAACTAGGGGGAAAAGGCACAAACTTTAGCAATTCCAAATGATTACGAAAGTTCATTAGATTGTTGTAGACATGACCACCTCGTTAATAATGGTATTGATGATCGTTGATCCATGTTGTCAAGGTCCTTTCTAAAATAGATGCATGCACAAAACGTGGTTGTGACCTGATAATTGAATAATTTCAGTTCTAATTGGTCGAAGTGTGCCAGCAAACGTTCCAACTTTATTGTCAGACTGTGAAAGCTTACTTGAAATTTGTTGATAGGTGTCAATAGTGGTTCTTTTTTCTTCAAACAGTTGCATTGAGGGAGAAACTCCGTCCCTCACTTATGGGTTCATTAAGTACTCCAAAGTATGGACTTGGGAAATTGAACTATTAACATTATAAATGTATAAAAATAAAGGAAAATAAAGAAGATAAAATGTGTAAAATATATATCATTGATGTTGTGAAAATATTACAAGGTGTGGTATTTAAAGAGAAAATTATTTTACCAGCCATAACATCATGACTTACAATTTTTTTTTGTCTTATTCAACTATTTACGTGAATAATGTGCGATTGTTCCCTCCATTTTTCAATATATGAAATTCGACATTTCACTTTTATCTTTTGCTTCTAGACGTGTTATGTCCATAAGTCCATAACTTTCTAAGCCCGTGATTCTGTAATTTTGATGTTCTTTGGTTCAATGACAATATAAACATGGAACATGACCAATAAAACCAAATTATCATGTCATACTATGCTTTTGACTAAATCTAAATCCTTGAAAACTTTAATTTGTATATATTCACTTTGATAGGCTTGAGAAATATTTAGTTGACTTATGTTTGATTTATGTTCGATTGTGTTTATATTCACTTGACCTTACTTCGGCTAGGAGACCATCATCTAACCTTAAGATTGTTTGTCTTCACAATAATTAATTTGTATGTTGTATCATCTCACAACTCAAGGCCAACCGATAATACAACGTAAATGAGTATTTTTTTTACACATAAAAATAAATATTTTGTTAGTTGAAGTTGAACGCAATGAAATTTAGGATAAATCGTTTTTCCTCATCTGAATAAAGGTTAGGCAGATACAAAGACAATCAAATATGAGATAATCAAATTTTCTGAGGATTTCTTTCTCCACCCTATAGTCTAAAGAAATATCCTATACATTTCCTAAAATTTCTCTTGGAACTGGAAATATATTTTCGGTGCGCATATTTTTTCTATTAAACCTTGACTATAAACCAAAAATACATTTGCAAAGCAAACCGAAATATATTTCTGGTTTCTGTGCAGACAGTACCAGAAAGATTTATGCTGACAGTGAATCTTTTTGTGTATTGTTTCGCATTGAATACAAATACGTATACAACAAAACATACTACAAAGACATATAAAACAAAGACATATATAAATAGATAGCAGTAAACAGTACAAAAGGGGCTCGTAGACAATATAAGGTATAACCCAAAATATTATTCAAATACAATCAAAAAATGATAACAAAAATACTTATGCAACAATAACGACTATTGGATATGGCAGACTCTGAGTCGGCCCGTCAACCTCCCGGTGTTCCTCTGCTGCCTCCTGTAAAGCAGAGCCCCCTGAGCCTCCGCCATGATGGCATCCATAACACCTCTAACATCAGATCCATCAGGAAACAAACCTTCATCAATACATGCATGCACAATCTCTGTGATACGACAACACCTAGACAACACATCAGTGGCATGATCGATCGTAGCCTGCTCCTTCTCTAGAATCTCTTGACGAGCTGGCCTCGGTGGATTTTCTGGAACATCTTGTACTAGATATGGATTGGACACCCTGAAGAACCATATAATATAACCATCCACGAAGCTCCAATCGTTTGGAGCAATGGTACTTTGGGCCTCATCTAAAACAAGATGATTCTCATAATCATCAAACAAGTCATCCATATTCTTACGTTTCACCAGGAGAGGAACAGATACAACAGGATCCTGGGGAATATACTGGGTGTACCCGAACTGACGCATGACACACTCAGGCATATAAGCAGTCGTCTTGCGCGACCCGCAAGCCAATCATCTTGTAAACAACACAACATCGTCAAATGGTATCGTGACACAATGGTCATAGTATAAATGGAAGTGTATGTCCTCAAACACCATCCGGTCAATATACACGTGGAACGACTCTGTTGCTTGGTTCCCTTGGAGCGAGTTGTATGCAGTGGCACGCGGCTTAGCTTAAGTATAATCCCTAGATATTGACCAACCCGAGATGTGGGGGAAGTGCGTTAGGATCCAGCTCTGAAATAACAATAAATATTAATTAGTAACGGAATCACAATAATTAACAAAATACCACAAAGACCAACACCTCCTCTTTGTCAATCCGATCATGGTCTAAAAATGTCTCTCTAATCGAAAGATGCAATAGAGATGTGACGTCGTCCAGTGTGATCGTCATCTCACCATGTGATAGATAGAATGACAACGTCTCATGGTGCCACCTCTCAACAAATGCGTTAATCATACCCCCAATTAACGACGCTATAACCACACTTGATCAAATCTTTCAACCCTGTAAGTAGCAACAACTCATCAAACCATGGCTTAAGAGAGGGTTCGAGTTTACTGATCTGCCACCCATGATTAATGATCTTCAGCGGATCACGTTCTTGCATACATGGTTTGACAAAATTCATTCAACAAAAATCTATAATAAAAATATAATAGAAGGAACAAGTCAAAATACAACCTCTATGTCCCATATATGTCTAGCAACATGGTCCGTGTACAGATGCAATAGAGATAAATCAGACGGTCCTTCTTCAAAACTCTGAGGCTCCGTAGGTGCCGGCTCAGGTGCCTGAGATGTCTGGGGTGCCGGCTCAGGTGCCTAGGATGCAGGTTGTGGCTGGGCCTGAGGTGTCGGATGGGAACCGAATGCCTCTCCCTCCTCAAATACCATCGGTGAGAAAGTGCGTCTACGGAAGGAAGGAGGCGGGGAGGGATGAACTGGAGAATTTCGCCTGTTGTGGGAGGACGATGAAGTCGGAGTAGAAACAGGAACACCGGAGGCAGAGGCTATAATATGCACATCTGACACAATCTGTCCAGAGGCAGAAGGAGATTGAGATGTCCGACTCATTTCCCTTTGCACAGAAGCATGTTGTGCAAGTATGTCGTGCCTCAATAGATGCTCTCTTAGCCATTACTCCTGTAAAAGTACAAAACAAATGTTACCACGAGGACTATTATTCAAAAACAAGGGAAAAATAGAAACAGACTAAAAACATAAATACATTTCCGATTTTCTTCAACGTTAAAATGGAAACCAAAAATACATTTCTGATACGACCTGCAATTTCAGAGCTTCGTCAATGGCGAAGTAGGACCACAAATGACCTCAAAATAATGGTCATTGATCATAAAAGATGTTTCAAACACGTTTCTTATGACTCACTAACATTAAAAACACTAAACAACTCACAATTTATACCCTAAATCACAATTTGTAGCTTAAATTACATAAACTCCAAAAAAAACAAAAAAACTTACAATTGATGATTTTTCTTGATTGAATGTGGTTGAACACTTAAGTTAACTGATGTTTGACAATTCCTAATGAGCTTTATGCGAAGTGGTTTGATTTTGTAACAATGGATTTGAGAGGGTTGGGTGTTTTGTGTGTTTTGGTTTTGTGTTTGTACAAAAAATGTTTCTGTAAAGAAAGGGGAAAAGGCCACGCGCCTTTATGTCTCAACACAAACCAGAACTATACATCATGTTGTAACTGAAAATTTAATTTCGATTTGCATCCAATTTATTTATACAATTTATGTCTGGCAAGGAGTGTTCCAGAAATATATTTCTGGTTTTAAAGAGCATTTTTAGAATTTTACATGGTCCACTAAAAAATTATAGGATGGAAAAAGAAATCCTCAACTTTTTTAAGTCTACTAAGTCCACACAAGTCAAGGTTCAATAGAAGTGGAGACTTTGACATTTTACTTGTGTTATTTATTTGTAGCACCATTAACTAAAAATAACTATTGGCACATAGTCAGTCACATTCAAAGTTCAAAGGAAAAGTCATTGACATGAATTAGAGAACAACATTCTTAAAAATAACTAATATTCTTAAACTATGTTCAAGACCAACATTTAACTAGCTTAATGAATGTTACAGTAGAAGACAATCACAAATTAACAATGATGATATGAACTAAAAAACAGCATAGATAATTAATGCATGCAGTCTATGATGATCTAGATTAAAAATGATACAGCTAATTGGAATTTGAATGGTAAGAGACAGTATGAAACAAACAAGTCTTTTGATACTTTCACCACAAGAAAAGTTAGCAGGTAGATGGAGCATCATTAGGTTTCACATTCCCATTTTGATGGTCAAGACCTTCCTTTCCGACACCCCGTACATGAACCTGCAAGACAAGATGAGAAACAAGCTCGAAAACGCACGTGTCACCAATATTTATGTGATTATCACGGACAAAGGCCATCCACCCCCCACACAAGGTGTGAGCTTTTCCCCCTTTAGCATCTGGGATGGAGTTCACAGTCCAACATTCGCCTCTTGAATTACGAAGTGTAAGTTCTGTTCTGCAGTCAGGGAGATGTACAGCAGCGAACTCTTGTGGGATTCTCTGCAGTTTAACAGGTACTCAATAAATAATTTAGCAATGATATCGATTTTAAACACACGTGACACGTGCCAACACTAGTTGGTTGTGAAATGTGTATTACTCACCAAAGTGCGTGATCCACTGACATTTAACTTCTTCATGATTGTCACAAAATTAGGAAATGGGGAATTAAGAGCTTCGGCTGTTTTTTGTTTTTCGAGTGAAGCCAACATTTTCAAATCAGCTTTAGCCTGGGAGCTTAGTTCATCTTCAACACGATGTCTCTTCGGTGTAGCTGTCTTAGTTTACAGTTCAAATAAGACTGAAGTCATAATTTGGAAGGTAGAAACTTAAGATATAGATCTACATTGCAATATAATTTGCGATCTAGTGAGCGAATAGAAAAAAAACCTTACCCAACTTTTTATGAGCAGTTTTCGACATGGAGCAAATCCCAATCTTCATAGTATTTGAAGCTCCATCAGTTTTCTTCAATTTGGTGGATAAAACAGCTTCTTGACCAATCTTGTTCAAAGTATTTGAAACTCCACTAGATTTCGTCAAGTCGGTGGATAAAACAGCTTCTTGGCCAATCTTCTTCAAAGTATTTGAAACTCCAACAATTTTTGTCAAGTCTGAGAATAAAACAGCTTCTTGACCAATCTTGTTCAAAGTATTTGAAGCTCCACCAGATTTCATCAAGTCGGGAGATAAAACAGCTTCTTGACCAATCTTCTTCAAAGTATTTGAAGCTCCACCAGATTTCATCAAGTCGGGGGATAAAACAGCTTTTTGACCAATCTTATTCAAAGTATTTGAAGCTCCGCCAGATTTCTTCAAGTCAGACAAAACAGCTTCTTGGCCAATCTTTGACAACTTTTTATCCGACAGATCAACTTTGTTTTTGCGTTTTGAGCTAACTTTAGGATTCATTGGCATACCTTTAGAAGTCTCATGGCAAGTGACACCATGTTTTGCACTAAGCATACTAAAAAAGTCAGTTTTCCAACCTGACATTATAGCCAACAAGTTTAGGTCGTTATTCGTTAGAGTAAAAAACATAATAATACATCATAGCGCATCAGAATTCAAGATGAGATACATGTCCATATAGAGGTACACACAATCAAGTTCTTTCTCACAAGAATTACCTGCTATTGGTGATGTTCCTTGCCGGTTATTCTGGACAGCTGAAGCCTCATTGTCAGGCCTCTTGGTCCGTTTACCGGTTGGTTGGGAGGGAAACGCTACTGATGCGGCAGTCTTAGTGACTGCATCGGCCATGACCTGCTCAGGTGAAGCAAATTGAACACGACCATTAAAAGTCTTTCCATTGGGAGTTTCAAAAGGTGCGGCTAATGGTGTTCCTATATTGTTAATATGCCGAAATTTCTCACGCAAACCACATTCAACACCACCATTAGAAACAGTATTGACTTCTTCAACATAATTGTCTGTTTCCTTTGCCTTGTCACCCCCTTGTTCAGTTTCGGCATGTTTGTATTTTCCAACAAAATAAGAAGTTGCTTTCTCACAAAAGCTTTCTCCATCAAAGATTAAAACCTCAAAGTGTGATTTTCCATTGTACTTAAAGACAAGGAAATCATTCTCTTTCAAAGAGTGGTCTTTCACGAATTGTTGCCAACCGTTGGTGAAGAACAAGGAATCGTCCCTAGTTGTCAGCCCTACATTATACACAACTCCACTAGGACCTTTGATCGTCACATTTTGTGGCAACTTCTTCTTTACATTGTTTGAAAATGTTTTAGGAAGTGCCTGCAATTAACACATTAGAAAGGTTTTGTTTTTCTTTAGTTTAGAACATGGAAGGAAAGAAAAAAATGAAAAGGGTTACTAACAAGTTGTTGTTCAAAATGGGTGCTCAGAAATCGGGTGAAACGGATGAACTGGAAATGAGTCCAGTAAATGTCTTCCTGCCATGATTTGAAGCCGCTGGTGTTCTGTCCTTGTCCTGTTGCAGTTTGAACACCTCCACATTTTCCGACAAAATAAGAAGCTGCTTTCTCACAAAAGCATTCTCCATCAAAGATTAAAACCTCAAAGTGTGATTTACCATTGTACTTAAAGACAAGGAAATCATTCTCCTTCAAAGAGTGATCTTTCACAAATTGTTGCCAACCGTTGGTGAAGTAAACAGAATCATCTCTAGTTCTGAGCCCTATATTCCACACCACTCCGCTATGACTTTTAAGGGACACATTTTCTGGCAACTTCTTCCTTACATTGTTTGAAAATGTTTTGGGAAGTTCCTGCAGTCAAAATACAAAATTTTCCATTTCAGTTTGAGCCACATTCATCTGAAAAGAATAATACACCAATAAAACGTGATTCCATTGCAATAAAAACGCAAAACCACAACAGATCTTGAGCTAATGCCACAGTTCCTAACCCATTATTCAAAAACAAGAATATCTATTTCTGTAGAATATTACTGTAATAGCAAAAAAAAAAAGGAAAACTTTAACATGTATCCTAAAATGAAAAGCTCAAAACTTTCTTTAAAAAAAAAGATGAAGTGCATGTTGTGAAAGACCCAAATATGAAAAGATAAGAAAGATTTGATTTTTATTTGATTAAGAGCATGGAAAGAAAGAAAAGATGAAAAGGGTTTGTTTACTTACAAGTTGTTGAAAATGGTTGTTGAGAAATTGTGTGAAGTGGATGAACTGGAAATGGGTCCAGTAAATCTCTTCCTGCCATGATCTGAAGCTGTTGCAGGTTTGTTCTTCTCCTCTTTCCATTTGAAACAGGGTGAGACAATGAAATGGTTCAAAAAACCTCAACACTTCACTCTGCTATGTTGGAGATAATAAAACTAAATTTATTTATTGGGAGCAAAAATATATTTAATCTTTTTAATTTAGTAATTTAGTAATTTATTGAGAGATAATAGAAGCTAGTTAGAAACAATGATAATTAATTAATTAATTAAAATATAAAGTAAGGCTGAGTAGAAGTATAATATGCTGGCACAATTGCATTTCTTCAGTCTTTGTGGTTTTGGCACCAGTTGGTAGGTCCGGTACATGTCAAAATCTTAGATGAAAAGTTAAATTGCTTGTCATGCTAAATTGTTACGTGCAAGATATAAGATATGCTCACAATTTCTCACTCTTTTCCATTCATCACCTAAGAATGAACAGCCCAAGTGCAACACAAATGCTGATACAATAAAATTCCTTTATTGTAAGGTTAAGATAAAGTTTTCTAACAATTGTGAAAATTAACAAGATCAAATTGAAATAGTCAAAGGCTTTGGTAGACTCATTTTATCCAACATCGTGACTTCGATCTTCATCTACTTTTTGATAAATCATATGGTAAACTATTTTAAAGTTGCTACTAATTTAAGCATTAAGAGACATGCCATATATATGAAATTTGGAAAATGTCCAAAATAATGAGAGAATTGTAAAATATGTCAGAAATTTGTGAGGGAATTAAAATCCTTCACTAATTAGTGACGGAATTTTTAAAATTTATATCATAGTTTTGATCAATTGTTAGTGACGTCTATATTTGATTTGTCATATTTTTATCACGTCGTAATTTGTGACGGATTACAAAATCTCTTATTAAATTTTGCGACATTGAAATTCGTTACAAATTTTGAGTCGTCACAAATTTCGTCACTAAAACAGTTTGTGATGGAATTTCAATACTTTTGTGGCGGATTTGTACTCTCTTTAAATTTAAATTTTTTTAGTAGTGTAGACATGCATCTCCATATCAAAATATGGACATACACTGATGTAATGAAAATGACATATATTATAATCAATCCTTAATCCATAATACTCTCAAAATAGCAAATTATAAACGATAATACTATCTATAATCCCTAATATAAATATTAACCTACTGGGTATATCGTCCCTTATGTTTCTTCGCTACCCCCTGTATTACAATGTCGTTCGTACCTCAAACCTCCGAGAAGTGTCTTCCAAAAAGTTTTCTCTCTTTATATCTGCTCACGCAAGATTGTGAATACGATAACATACAGGTAACACATCAACGACGTGATCTGCCATAACTTGCTCCTCCTCTAATATCTTCTTATGAGTTAGCCTAAGTGGATCTCCCTAAACATTCGGTGTCGTGTAAGGATGTAACATTATGAAATACCACTTAATGTAGTTGAATGTAGAGATTCATTCGCTAGGAGTTATGACACATTGTGTTTCACCCAATTCTAGATAATTAAAGAAATCGTCATACATGACATGTACATCTCTACGGGTCAAAGTGGGAGGAGAAAACATGAAGGGTTCTCTTGGAACAACCTACATATACGTGAATTGGCACATGACTTGCTCAGATAGATGTGGATATATCATATTTGACCCATGAGTCAATCATCTAGAGTATAAAGCTACGTCATTTAAGGGATGTGTCTAATGATGATCATCCTACGACTGAAAGCATATATCATCTTCTGTTTTTTAGTCAAGAAACACTTTAAAGTGCTCGATCGACTAATGCACAAGCACATGGCCAATCATCAATGTAGCCATCAATAAATGACTAGTCAGAGATGTGTGGAAAGTGTTGGAGGATCCATGTCTGAAAATAGTACATATGAATTATTAGTAATGATGTAGCACAAGGATTATAAAAATGGTACATAAAAAGTAAAGGATGCAAATATACTACTGTTAACATGGTGCAACTAGTTGTCATTTGTTTGGTTTTTCAAAGACAACCTTCAGCTAACTTGGAGTATAGGTAAACCAAAAAAGCGATCCCCCCGTTGTACTCATAAATCTGATGTATATTACATTTGTGATATGCCTATATATTGGTGTATATTACACAACCTAATGTTATTATTTTTTAATGCATGTCTAGAAATCAAATGTGAAAAAAATGGATTCAAAAACTTACCAAATGTGTAGTTGATGTTGAGGATTTCAATTGATTGTTGAGAGTAGAAATTGACAAACTACTTGGATTGGATTAAGTAGAAAGGAAAGTTGGATTGGCAATTTTTTTTTTAAAGTGAGAACAGTTTTAGAGTGCTTTTGCTGAAAATGAGGAAGGAGAATGGTCTGACGTGTATTTGATTAAAACTCCGTCCAAGTGTGCACTTCTGTAAGATACATGGAAACATATTTTTGTATTAATTTTTGTCAAAAATGAGATTCTGACTTACTTACGAATGGATTGAGTGTGGACTGACATGCTTCTGAAAGTACATTTTTGAATTTCAGGGATACTTTTGATTTTTTATAAGAGTGTGTGAACACCTCTTAAGGTGAGAGAAATAATTCTCAAATATTTTCATAAAAAGTGTGACAATGTCATATTAGGTTATAGGTGTACGAATGATGAAACATATGCAAAGTTTTGGAGAATTTAACCTGCCAACCTCCACGTTATGCCTGACACTCACATAATATGCGTAATTGTATCGTTATACTCTTACCTAAAGTTACTAGTTTTCATAAAGTATGAGGACGTACCAGAAATTTTAAAATTATACCATAAATTTAGTAAAAATTTGCAAAATACCAGAAATTTCACAAAGAATACCATTTTTTTGTTTTGTATGAAGAATTACCGAAATTTTAAAATTTTCGGTAATGTCATGCTAGAATTTTTAAAATTTTCGATATGTACCAAAAAGTTTCGGAAATTGTGAAAAATTCGGCAAACAGTTAAGTATCGATTGTTTTTGCATTAATTTTGTGAAATAAATAACCTGATAAAATATATATATAAAATGGAAAATATGTTACATATAGGAATACAAAATAAATTATGATGACTTATGTTCTTGCGTAAAAACAATAAACGAGTGGCTTCCTTGTAGGAACAAGGAGGGCCTCAATTGGATAGATTTTTGTATGATTTGGGGGGATTTGGGTGCTACAAAAGTAATGCGTATTGATCCAAGATGAATGTCTTGCTCATCCCTCTATTGGGAGCCCCTTTATATAGTCTTCTTGTTGCATCATTAAGAGCCTCATTCAAGAGGTGACTATTTAGCTTTTGAACACCATAATTGATGTTGTCGCCACGAATGAGTGGGTTCAAAATTGCATAACATTGGGTTTAATACGCCAACAACTGTTATCATCATTAACAGGCCGGACTGCTAGTCGTCTACAAGCATATGGACTTCAGTTACGTGCCATATTCGGGTTGGTAATGCAGATGGGCTGCTTTCCGGATACAATGACAGTCGTCCTTGACCTTTAGTCGAGTTACACTTCATCCCGGGAACTTTTCATCTTTACAGGCTATATACTCACTTTGTTCCCTTTCCAGGTGAATTTTGACCCGGTCAAAGCTAATATTTTCGGGAATCTTTGTCTTCCTAATGCCTAATGCATCCAGCATATATTGCTTCCCATTCTTTTGCATCTTCAGTATAATTTTGTATCCAAAGGTCAATGGCGGGAGGTAATGGATAATTAAGTTTCAACTTTACCTGAACCCAATGACTATTGTTGACAAAACCAACTACAATAATTTTATGCCTACTCGTATACCTGGATGGAGCTACGACAATAAAGAAAAATGTGATGTTAAGTCTCTTGAACAGGGAGACAAATACGACATTGTATCTACAAGTAATAGGGTAATGATCGTAAAAATAGCAAGTGTACTATTTTTCCTCTTGTAATAACAAGGAAAATTCCCCAAATATCGATCTCAAAGACTGCACAGAATTACCGAGTTTAATGCGAGGTTCAATTAAATAAAACTCAATGTGGGGTTTTAGTTTGATAATTATACTTAACAATAATTAAAAATATGCGAAGGTAAATTATGACTTTTTTTTACTAGTGTGAATACTATGTTAGGGATGAGTGTGTGGTTTTCCCTAAAATTACCTTCATTGTTGATCTCTTCTACGAGTTCATTGCCTTCAACTACCGGCCCTTTAGATTATTTTCCACTAAATCTAAAGGGTTAAACCTTTAACCATCCATCCTAAATCCTAAGTCCTTAGAAATGTTTGATGGAGTCAAGCCTTTATCTTATCAAGGGTTAAACCCAGTGACTATAGGGTATCCCTAGTCCTAGGTGATATCTACTATAGCCTAATCATACAAAAACATTAACAACTGCGGTCCAGCTAGTTGTTAATCGTAACTCAATCCTAATTAGTCTGATCAGGAAAGCATTAGAAACCTTGAACGATTAAATTGAAAGGAAACTATTGTATTAAAAATCAATAATTCATAGTCAATACGTTTACAAATCAGGGACACCCCTTAGCATTGGGGGATTTATCCGCATATAATATTCAAAGAAATTTCAATAAAAGTAAAGATAGACATTACACAAATTGATGGTGCACTCTGATCTGCAATTGCTTCCACTCATGAAAGGTCTTCGTTCTCCCAAAACTTGCATAGACTTCAATCTTCTATCGTGAAATTATTCTTCATTCCCAAAGTCCCTTTCTTCTTATCACAAACAAGTCTTTATAGCGTTAGGTCATCCTTCAGCAATACAAAATGTCCAAAGTACCCTTAATGATCCAAGAATACAGCAAAATCTCAAAATTGGAATGTTAAGCGCCTAGGCTGACACGGGTCGTGTCACCGGACACGGGCACCCGTGTCAGCGTCCGTGATCTACTCCTTTCAACCTTTTGGCCAAGCTGAATTGACACGGGTCGTGTCGTGTGACACGGGAACCCGTGTCAGCGCCTGTGATCCTTCCTCCAAAAACGCACGTTTCAGTTGACTTGACACGGGCCATGTCGTGTGACACAGGCGCCTATGTCGCCTTTTCCCTTGCTCCAATCTTCATTTTTCCCAAATTCTCCCCCTAACACGGTCTATGTCAGGCGACACGGCCACCCAAGTCAGGACTCCTGAAGCACTTCTTTCTGAACTTCTGAATTCTGCACTTTTCTGCCCCGATTTGTCCTGTTTTATTATTTTAAACCTGAAAACACTAAAATACAAAACCGAAGTATAAAATATGGTAAAATATAATAAAACACCAGTCAATTAAAAGAAACGATGACCGAAATAAATGCATAATTCATGTGTAAAAATCACTGATCAGGTAAAGGCTTGACTCCATCAATTTTAAAACCTCATTCTATTGGTTGCACATCTCTCCATAATGTAGGTTCTGATCTCTTCCAACATAGTTACTAATGGTTTAGCCCTTAAGTCAAGAATAACCCTATTAAAAGATTCTTACATGTTGTTGAGAACATCATCACATTTGTTGGTTGTACTAAAATATGATTTACTCTAATATCTTTGTGGGGTCTTCATCATATGAAAATATGCACCTTCACTGATCAATCTCATATGGTGTGTTGAATATAGATATCAACATTTAGATGCACTCTGTAAAGATCAACAATTTCTAAATCACCTTTGTCATCAACTAAAGCATTCATATCAAATGTAGGGTCCTTGTAATATATTGTCTCAAAATCCATATAGCTTAACTCCTTCAACACACCTATCAAATAAAATTAAAAAAACTCCACTTGTCAACATCTATTTTCAAATCATTTACTAGTCCTCCTTCATACACACTTATTTCAGGATCAAGAATTCACCACTGTGATGAATTCTGAGTTTCAAATATTCGTCCATTTTATCTATTCAAATAGATTTCATTACATTTTGCCCTAATACAGTTACAGAACAAAAGCACAAAGTCCTAAAACATGAAAAATATTAAATCTACACAAAACCCTAAATGTTTCCCTAATAAAATTAAAGAACAACAACTCAAAGCTCTAATACATGAAATACCCTAAATATACACAAAGTCCTAAATTTTGCCCTAATACAGTTACGAATACATGCAAACATTACTAACATGTATTAGAAATTTCATCTTCAATCCTTCACTTCCTTGATATCGTCGACCTCTGCGCCTTCAGTCGCCTGTTCAATCGTTGAGTTCGCCTTTGTTGCAATTTAGAATTTTTTTCATTTGAGATTGTGTTTTCTGAACATTACAATTCATTTTGGTTGCTATACTCAGTGTTATATCCATGTCATCACATTATATACTACTTGAAAGCTATTTTCTGACTTTGACTGACGACCACAAATGGAAGGATACACTATTTCAAAAGTTAAAGGACCAATATGACAACTTTTAAAATTAAGGGACCAAACAAAACCCAAAGAGAGCAAAAATAATATTTTGCCTAAATTATTTCTTAAACTATTTGAGGACTTTCAATTCAAATAGGTTTCAAAACTTAAACTAAAAGTGTTGTAATCAAAGCCTTAATTAAACTGTTTCAAAAAAAAAAACATTACTTAAACTTGAAACATTTCTAACTAGGTGTAACAAAAGGACTTGATAACAGAATGTATTAGTTCAGAGACCGACTAACAAACTTTTTTTATTTAGTGACTTGTTCAAAAATGTCTAAGTAGTTTAGAGACTTACACAATAACTTCATAACCTTAATCGATACTTATTTTGAGACAAAAAAAGCAAAATGTAGTTTTAACCTCTTCGAAACCAACATGTCAAGAGCTAACTGAATGTTACATGCATATCACAAATTCAGTGACAAACAAAAACGCAGTAGCACACTAGATAACTTATACATTTGATGTTCTTGATTAGTGATGATACATCTAATTGGAGCAGTAACTAGTTAGTAATAAGTTTCACATGCCCATTTTGATGGTTGAGACCTTCCTTTCCAACCCCAGATATATAAACCTGCATCACATAATGAGAAACCAGCTCAAAGATGCATGTGTCTCCAAAATTTATGTCATTATCACGAACAAAAGCCATCCATCCTCCACAAAAGGTGTGAATTGTTCTCCCATTAGCATCTGGAACGGAGTTCACAGTCCAACATTCGCCTCTTGAATTGCGAAGAGTAACTTCTGTTTTGTCGGCGGGAAGATGTGCAGCAGAGAACTGATATGGAATTTTCTACAGTGTAACAAGTATTCAATAATTTAACAGTGATATTAATTTTAAACAACACATGGCTAACACTAACAATAAGTTGTGAAATGTGTATTACTCACCAAAGTGTATGATCCGCTGACATTGAACATCTTCATGATTTTCACAAAATTAGGAAAGTCGGAAGTAAAAGCTTCAGCCACTCTTTGCTCGTCGAGTGCAAACAACATTCTCAAACCAGCTTTAGCCTGGGAGCTTAGTTCATCTTCAACACTATGTTTCCGCGGTACAGCTGTCTTTATTTACAGTTCAAATGTGACTGAAATCATAATTTGGAAGGTAGAAACTTTTTATAGAAAGGAAGTATTTAATATATATATCCTTTCATTAGCTAAGTAACAAAATCTTAATTGTCGAGGTATTGATTTATATTCTTCTCTTTTTATTTCTGAAAATAAAATACTCGATAGAAATTTGTTGCTGAAACTTAAGATATGGATCTACATTATTATATAATTTGAGTGGGGCAAATAGACGAAAAAAACTTACCCAACTTTTTCTTGGCAGCTTTCGACTTGGGGCAAACCCCCACCTTCTTCGAAGTATTTGAAGCTCTACCGGATAAAACAGCTTCTTGACCAATCTTTGACAACCTTTTATCTGATAGATCAACTTTGTTTCTAGACTTTGAGCTGACTTTAGGGCTTTTTGACATATATTTGGCAGTCTTTCGGCAAGCGACATCATGTCTTGCCCTGAGCATACTAAAAGCTAGTTTTCCAACTTGGCAGTCAAGCCCATCTTTTCCAACCTCAGCGATGCGAACACGTAATTCACACTCACGTATAAGTTCGAAAATGCAAACATCTCCAACCTTTATACTATTACCTCGAACAAAAGCCATCCATCCTCCACACATAGTGTGACTAGTATGCACTCTAGTTGTTGGAACAGAATTAACAGTCCAGTGTTCTCCCTTCAAATTATGAAGAATAATCTTTATCTTGCAGTTTGGAAGATGTGCCATCGAAAATTGATATGGTATATTCTGCATTATATTATAAATCAGTATCAACAAGAGGTTCGTTGTTAATGTCAAGCACAGTGAATAGGAAGGAAGAAAACTTTACAAACAAATAATATGACCCATAAACTTAAAATAGGAACTATTTGAGGAGAATGAAAATTAAAATTGCAATATCTTCAATCACACTTTTCAGGGAAGAAAACTATGATAACAATAACAATCAAATGGTACTTGGAGAAATACAACATTGTAATTGCACAGAAGTTAATTTGTAAATGTCATAGAAGTAGAAAAGGCATTAAACTTAGTATGTATTCTGATAACAATAACAGTCAATTGGTACTTGGAGAAATACAACATTGTAATTGCATAGAAGTTAATTTGTAAATGTCATAGAAGTAGAAAATGCATTAAACTTAGTGATGTACTCGGAAGCTTGCTTAAGGCAGAAGTTGAGAAGTCTGACAAGCAGCATCTTCGCTGAGTATTGAAATATCACTCCAACATCTATTGAGGTGCTAGTGCGAGAATAGTTAAAATCTACTAAGATTGTCTCATTAATTAGGATGTATCACTATTCACTAGTGTCACTACAGAATTATGGATGGAATTTTCATTCAGATCATCTTTTACTGGTAATGTGTACATGTGAAACTCTTTAATCCATGCTTACAATCCCCCATACATAAAAGGTGAAATATTATTTGGGTAAATATTAATATACTCCAACAAGAACAGTTTCTCAAGCAGATAACACACTACACAAGTTACTTAAAGACAAGGGTAAAGAGAGATAAAATAACATTATTTGGGAGGTAATTAAAGAATCACAGAAGGGAATAACTCACCAGAGTATATGAACCACTGACATTGAAGGTCTTAATTATTTTAACAAAATATGGAAAAGAGGAGGTAAATGACTGTGCTATCTTTTTCTCATCATGTGCTGATAGCTTTGACAATGAAGCTCCGCTGAGAATGGCTGCGGTGGTATGGAATTGAAAAATTCAATCATGAATATTTAATGAAAGGTTAAGCTCTAGCATAAAAATAAGCATTTGGATGCAGAATACTCTTTCCTAGACAAGTATCAGTTTGGTAGGGAAGATCAAATGAGTTTTAATTTATTTTTTTTGAGACCCTGAATGAAATCAAATTAGTTATACCTTCATCTTCATTACTACTTTTTGCATGAAAAGGAACAGCGCTAGCAGAACATTCTCCGTAGGTTTCTTCTGTTTCTCTGATCATTCGAATTGGTTTAGCTAACTCACACTGGGGTAGTTCTCTACCAACAATAGCCAGCTCAAGCTCCTGGTTCTCAACTGTGCCACGCCTCATTTTCTTCTGAACACCTCCAACAACATCCAAAGAAGAACTCTCCTCGGCATCCCTTTTTAGTCCTTCAATATTATCTAAATTGAATGAATTTAGATTGCATGCAGAATGAAACGCTGCTTCTTTCTCACATGCATTCTTACCGAACACTTGCACGGTGAAATGCAAGTCACCCTCGTATCTGAAAACCAAAAGGTCACCATATTCTAAATGATGATCTTCCGTAAATGTTGACCATCCATGATGGAAGAATAGATAATTGCCATGCTCAACTAATCGAACTTGCCAAGTATTTCCACTAGGACCAGTTAATGAAACTAATCCACATGTCCTGCCTTCCATTTGACAGACGAAACCATTTGGAATTTTCTGCAACAAACAAAATATACTTTCAAACAAAAACTCCAAAAGCATTTTATGATATCCAAAACAACAACAGGTATCGTGTATTCGTTTATATACAAGACACTTGAATTTGAAGAGCATAATCTTACTTTAAGACTACAAACAAACTACATAACTGCTTGTTATTCTTCACATTTTAAAGGGCCACTTGATTCCAAATCAAGATTTTTTGGAAGAGGTAGGACATGACTTCAGAGTATGTTTGGATCGAAAGTTTTGAAGGGCTAAGTCAAAATTTTGGTGAATATTTGAGATTTAGAAAAATCTAAAAGAATGAGATAATATATGATGAAGCATGGACACCGGAAACACGACATAGACGCTGACAAGTCGACGCCGGTAATAATTTGAAAAAAATGAATAAATTAAACGTAATCACAAGTGCCGGTGCTATATGATCATATCACATTTCAATCAGACTTAATTCATTTTCAGAAACATTTCATAGCTTCTAGCATTTCTATTCCATCATAAAACATCCAAACAATGCAATTTTGTTCTATTCCATCATAAAACATCCAAGCAATGCAATGGAATCTTTATCCTGCTCCGCTCCATTCCACTATGTTCCATTCCGACTTGCTTTAAAATATAGACTATGTTTAGGAGCAGTGTTGTCGATGGCGGAGAGCCAAAATCCCGCCATACAAGCCGCTTTGCAGCGCTATTAAAGCGGAAAAAAAACGCAATACCGGCCCATATTTACCATTGCGGCGAGCCCAAAAACCGCCATGTATATCTGCCGTGGCAGCCATTGCGCCATTATTTGATAAGACTGTTTAGGAGGGAAGAGAGAGTGAGGGTTTTCTTTCATCTTGCTTAAAAGAGAATACTTTTGGCAATAAAAACACACCACCTTCTTATTGTTGCATATACAAATACATTATCTCCTTTACTTTAGCTTTTGAAACATCTTTTAGTAAAAAAAAAACATTTTTTTCCCATTTGATTACGACCCTAAACTTTCCCACTTTTCAAATAGTGTCAAAGCATAGTATGAACAGTCATCACACACATGATTTCACATATTCAGAAAAATCATAATAATTATGCATAATTAACAATCATGCAAGCTACACAAACATGCAATTAGATCAAGAACAAAAAGACAGTAAAAAGAACAAGTTAAGAAAAAATTACCAGAGTTTCAAAGCTAGAAGAAGACGAATACACCTCATAGAACTGAGGCTTTCTCATGTTCAAGCTCCCCTTACACTTACAAGCCATGAATCAATCGCAAATTGAATTCAGATTTTCGAGTAATGTCAATGAGTTCTAACTCGGAATCTAAAAATGATTTTCCCCAATCTTGATTTTTCGCCTCATCGCAAAACCTAATCAGACAAAAATGAGAAACATTGATGAAAATTGGATATGAAAAATAGTAGTTAGAAGAATCGAAGGTGGAAGAGATGGAGGAACCTTAGGTTAGAGTAGTTTCGAGGAGAAACACGGAGCGCTAGTGTTGTTGATTTCTATATAATTTTTGTCATATGATAATGGTCATGAAGACCGTGTCTGTTCGTCAAATTTACCCTTGCTTAACGAAATTAATTTGCCAAAATGTTTATTTGGATCTTTTCATTAAATATTCATTAAAATAAAAAATAAAATAAATGTTGGAAATATAAAGGGCCAAAGTCTAACCATCAGGCATGGCAAAAATATCGATCCCATGAATGGAACCGAGTGGAGTGAGATGAAACAGAATAAAACAAAGTAGAATAGAGCGGAACAGAATAAATATATTATTATATTATTTAAAAATTTTAAGACGAAATAAAATAAATTGTTCATTCTATTTAAATCATAAAGAAAGGAAAATAGTGGTAAATGATGGAATAGAATGAAATTCATACCACTTCATTATACTATGTTTCATCTATATTTAAATTATCCAAATAATAGAATATTATTTTATTTCATCTCATTTCGTTCCGCTCCATCTGATTATATCGATCTAAATAAATCTTTAGTTTATTATGTATTTTATTAAATACGTAAGACATAACAATTTTGTTTATTATTATTATTATTATTATTATATTTATTATGTATTTGTCCTTTTTATTTTATTATTTATTTTACCTTTAATTATAAATCTAGTTAATTTTTTTTTCAATTTTAATTTTCATTTTAAAATTTGGTTTTTTATCCTTTATTTTAATTTTTTTGAAATTTTAATTTCCATTTTATTTTGGTATTATTTTTGATGACCTGATAGATGAAATGATCATGTGTCATAGTTTAATCGACAAAATTAAAATTCCATGTCTATAATGACCACTTCTTGCATTTGATTATCTTTAATATTATCTTTGATTATTTTTTATGAAGTCGTATCGAGGGTTATTGCTTGCCATCTAAGAATTGCTTCATAGATCTCATTGGAAATATTTGATGCTTCTTGGGGCTTTTTGGCGAGCATGAAGTCACCAAATGAATTGTTGAGTAGATAGATTAGATTCAGACTCGTTTGTTGCTCCGATGATACATACTCGATTGCTCATACCCCTTAGGGCACCATAGCATGTTGGGAAGAAGGGGGACATATTGGACGTAAGCACTCCTTTGGGGCTGTGTTGCCCTGCCTTTCGATTGGTACACAATTGAGTTGGCCGATCACGAACGCTATAGGTGTAGGGGTGATCCTGGCCAGGGAAAGCTAAGACGACACACAGTTCGACCACGTCCTTAGCCTCAGGGAATGACGAGCAGCACAACACTTTTATTAATCAAATGGCATAAAGAAAAGAGAGGCTTTCCTTTGTTAGAAATTCACATACAATATTTTGAAACTTCCAAGCCAAATAAATGCAACATGAGAAGTTTTACGTTGCACTTCAATAAAATTAATTAGGTGAGGGTAGAATACGCCTCATGCCAATCTAGGACAAGCTAAGATATATGTTATTTATGGTATTTGTTTTAGGGTTTTAAACCTGACTCTAACAAGTAAGTAAACTACATTGGTTGGGAATAAATTTATGGAAGAAAACCAACGGCAACTTCCACAGAGCCATCTCTATATGTGTCTATTAGTGAGCTGATTTCTCTTCACGGCCTTTATCGAAAAGCTTCATCGCTCGAATTTCTGTTTTTCTTGTAGCCCCGAAGTAGAGTAATAAGGAGGTTGAGATGACAAAAGAGAGACCTCTGTTTCAAACCAGGGGAACAAAATCTGGAGCAACGACCCCAACAGTTTGGAAGATATCTTTAAAAAATGTTTTAGCACCGGTGTATCCTATATGTACTCTAGTTTATTTGAAGTATCTCAATGGTGTAACTTCGTCGACTTATTGGGAAGTAGAAGGAAATCACTTTTATCTCTTATTTATGATTATTAATTTTTTATTATAATAATATGATTTTTTATATTAAAATAAAAATTTGAGACTTAAATGCACTTTTGGTCCTCCTATTTTGAGAATTTTAAATTAATGGTCCCGTTATTACAAAACTCATCATTCTGGTCCCTTAGTTTCAATTTCCTTGGGAGTTTTTTGGTCTCCCTCCGGTTTTGCTTAGGTTTCCTCTTCATTTTTTATGTGCCACTTTGGTTGTGGTGCCATGTCAGTAAGTCTGACTTAAAAAAATGAATATGTTACTTAAAAAAACATTTAAAAATATATTTATTTAACTTATCAATGTATATAATGTTTATAAACTCTAAAAAGCTAAAAATATTTCCTTGTTCACGTTTCCAATTTCCAATTTCTAGCTCAAAATTCATCATTTTCATTGAGAATCTTCATAGTGGGCATCTTCATCTTCGAAGCCCATTATCATCTTTGAAGACCATTATTGTCTCCTTCGAATCAAGAATTGAAATATGTCGCATTGGTCTATTTATATCCATGGAAGTAGATCTACAAATCGCTTATGGTATGAATGCAAGTGTGATCTGGATGCTCCATTGATGATGGCATGGACAAATGTGAACCTAGGTTACACCATTTCTATGGATGTGAGATGTATAAGCTATGTTTAAGTTTATGCAATTTATTGTTGCTACTATAATTTTCCATTTATTCATCTTCATTCACATTTCCAGATTCAAGGCTGCAAAAAATGGAGTCACTTTGTTTGGTTGGACGAGGAGATTAGTGTTAGGGCAAAAGAATTAATCTCTGCACTATTAAAGAACCTGGATGAAGAGAAGGAAATTGTTAATTCCTACAAAGCAAAAGAAGAAGAAATGAAGATGAAAGTGAAGATGTTAAAGAAGCAATTGAAGTTCAACTGGATGATGATTTTTGTTATATTGTTTGCTTAGTTGGTTCAACATTGATGAAATAGGTTTTAGGTGAATGGGTTTTAGGTTACATTGTTATGTTGTTTGCTTTATATTGTAACAAGTTATCCATGATGTTGTAATATGTTTCATGAATTAATGGAGTTGTAATAATTCAATTGGCTCAAGTTTTAGCAATTCAGTTATGTTGTCTATTGTATTAACATCGTGACTGCATTATACTTGAAAACATTGATTGGGTAATGCTTGAATTGAATGCATAATGCTTGTAACATTGAATGCGTAGTGCTTGTATTAAATGCATAATGCTTGTATTGACGGCAAAATGCTCGTAATATTATGACAACATGATTATTGTAAATATTGCATGCATAATGCTAACATTGTGTCTACATAATACTTGTAACATTTGGACAATACATGGCATGTAATTTAGCAGTCATAATGGACAACATAGGGTCTGTAATCAACATTTGTGCATAATGTTAACATATAACATTGGACATCATCCAGTTTCAACATTACCAAAATCACTTGACAAAAACATTAACATTAACCAAACCAAATACTTAATATTAACCTTGTTTGAAATACTTAAGATCCAAAATATATTAACATTAACCAAACCAAAATACTTAAGATCCATACATTCAAAATGAAATTCAAGTCACTACTTAAATCAAAATAAAACTACTTAAGATCCATACATTATAGCCAAAATATAACTCTAGTCACTACTTATGTCTAAATAAAGCTACATTTAAATTCATTATTCTTGAGTAGGTTGAATTGCTTGAGGTGCTTGTGAACCTTGAGCAATTTATGTTCGCTTTTCTTTGGCTTTCTTGGTTCTTGTTCCACCCTTCACATTCTTAGCCTTTAGCTTGTTACCACTCTTTGGAATTAACCTATCAGCTGCCTTTTTTTCCTTTACAACTCCTTTTATTATGTCTCGTAGCTCCACATTTTGCACATGTTACATTTGAAAGTCTCCTTGGCAGTATATGAGATTTTTTGGTTCATCATATGTCTTGTTTCTCTGCTTTTTTGGACGACATACGACTCTTCTCATCATGATGGTGCAACTTATCGTAACCGACAAAAAATAACGAGTCGCCACTATTAATTTTTGTCCTAAGGACATGGAAGTAACATATAACCTTAATTGTTTAGAGATTCTAAGTTCGCGAGTTGAATAGATAAAGGGAAGGTGTTAGGCACCCTTCATCTTCTTTGTTCTCAAGAGGCTCCGCTTTTAGGTTTTGAGATAAATTGGGAATTTATATTTAAAAGTTATTGCTTCCGTGAGTTTGAGAAATTGTTTAGTTTTTTAATTATGGGACTCTCCTTAGTTTTAACTGTGTGCCTACGTATCCTCTTGCAAAGAAATCAGAGTCCATTTTGGAATTAACCTATCAGCTGCCTTTTTTTCCTTTACAACTCCTTTTATTATGTCTCGTAGCTCCACATTTTGCACATGTTACATTTGAAAGTCTCCTTGGCAGTATATGAGATTTTTTGGTTCATCATATGTCTTGTTTCTCTGCTTTTTTGGACGACATACGACTCTTCTCATCATGATGGTGCAACTTATCGTAACCGACAAAAAATAACGAGTCGCCACTATTAATTTTTGTCCTAAGGACATGGAAGTAACATATAACCTTAATTGTTTAGAGATTCTAAGTTCGCGAGTTGAATAGATAAAGGGAAGGTGTTAGGCACCCTTCATCTTCTTTGTTCTCAAGAGGCTCCGCTTTTAGGTTTTGAGATAAATTGGGAATTTATATTTAAAAGTTATTGCTTCCGTGAGTTTGAGAAATTGTTTAGTTTTTTAATTATGGGACTCTCCTTAGTTTTAACTGTGTGCCTACGTATCCTCTTGCAAAGAAATCAGAGTCCATTTTGTAGTTCGTAGTATGTTTGGTTGGTGTTTTTATATGATTGTATTAAGTTGCTTTCGAATGATTTA